CACGAACACAAAATTTCCATATTTGCTTGTAATATGCATGGAAACTAGAGATTCTAGATTTCCCACACCAATGGCTAGATATTACTTACAGATAAATTTTCCTGTAATTATTGATTGTGCAGAATTTAAGTGTTAGTTTAGGTTCGTCTAGTTGATACAGACACTAGCATCATCATCATCCGAGTATTATCTCAACAAGTTGAGCTCGGCTACACGAATCTTGTTCCGCCATTCCGCTCTATCAAGGGCCATACCCCTTACCCTTTTAGAGCCTTGCACATATGTCCAGGATTCATGAGAAGATTCGGCAAAGTTCTACACTAGCAGCGTACCTAACATAACCCTCCTTGACCTAGGGCCTTGGGACTGGCATGACCGGCATGGGGGCGGCCAAGGCGGAGTTCTCATTGGTTAGACATGCAATTGAATATTCAAGTTCTCATTCTTTCTACTATAAAATGCATCCTTAAGGGTCACTAGGAGAGTTCAAAGAATAAGTTCCAAGAAGTACAATTGCACAAGGAAAAAAAAAATGTCCTGCGAAAGTTTAAATGCGAATCCCACCATATCTATTAAGCCCAAACTTAAAACCAACACAAGTTTAGCACAAGTACTATGAAAGGCTGCACAGATGATAAAGCCAGAGTCCACTTGGCAAAGATTCCATTTATTATTTCTGCAAATTAAAGCATTATATTTCAATTGAGTCCCGAAAATGACCAACCAAACGTTCCAAGGAAGCAGAGGACCCAACATATGGCAGCTTTTCACTAAGAAGGGTTTTATGAGGTCGTGGAGTGTTAATTTAGAAGGAAGCGAGCAGCACCCTGAGTATGATATTTTTTTTTTCCCCCTTCTTTGGAGGAATACCCCAAGTATGAGAATTTGATAACTAATTCAAATCATAGGTCATGTTTAGATGCACTACCCATTTAATATTAAAAAGAGCGCTCCACTCCAATAATAAGATTTTGACAACTAATTTAAATCAATCATCTAACAAATATAGATGCCACAACTAATGCCTTCATCCTTGGATTTCATAGTTTTCTCAGTTAACCAACCCAATCCACATTTTAAAAGCAGGAAATCACTTCCACCTTTCTGAATTTTTTCTTAGCTTTTGTGACATGAGCTTCCTATAGATCTACTTAAAGCACTTTTTGGTACCTCCATTGTCTGTGGAGATCCTAAACTCTTGGTTTTCTACACAACTTGATTGGCATATATATATATATATATCTATGGAAAAATTTTAAGATTAACTCTCAGAAATAGTGCATTTTACAACATATTATCTACACCGTCCATTTTCAAGATTTTCAGATGTTTATAGATCTACTTGATTTTAACCATTTTTTAAATTTAAAATTTTATAATTAGCTATAAAAATAGATTTTGAGATAATCCTAAGAACCTTTTACATCAAAATTATATACCATGATAAAATTTGAAGGTGCACCTTACCTCTACAGTCG